GCGCGGATACAAGGGAGGGTAATACATAAATTTGTAAATTCAAAATTGTTATTTGTGGTTCTTGTTTTTTTAGATATGTTACATCATATTGTATTGTAGTGTCCTATTAGTTTAAATAGACTTTTTAATACAAAAACAGCACGTCATCGATCATTATTTATGCAGTCACCATCATCATTATTCAGTGTTGTCTAATCGTCTAATTATTTTTACGTAATTTCATTGAATAATCTGAAAATAAAGTGGTACCTTTTATTCAAAGTCGTTAGATTCTAAAAATGAAACTTAAAAATTGAAACTATAAAAATATTAAACTCTTTTTCAGCCACCACTATACAAAATCACATGTTCCGTATTGTTTTTTAAACTTCAAATTAGGCAATTACGTACACATCTATAAATAGTGCGGAAATATATTATTCCACACGCTAATTCCACACTGTTTAGTGGACTGAGAAAATTGTCATATAAACATTAGTACGAATAGAAATACAATTCTATTTCTTATGAAATTATTTAATTATATATAAAATTAAATTATTTCGACCATTACTAAAAAACAGGGTAAATTGTCAAAAAACATGTACATTAAATAAACAATAACTTCTGAAATATTGCCAGATATACGAAAAAATTCAAATCAAGTTACCTGACTTCAAATCTTAACATTTAATTTCCTTCAAGATTATTGAAAATAATTGCTAACTATAAAATGAATAGTGATAGTGATAGTAATAATACTTTTCACCGCATATTTATCTCCTAATAATATTTTTAATTTTAAGTCGTTAATATTAATTTTTGTAATAAGTTATAAATAAAAATTAAAATAAAAAAATACGTCAATACATTTCATCAAATTATTTAAAAAAATGTGTGATTTATGTTTTAATCATTGTGGTCGTAGAAAAAATATAGTGTGATACTCGTGCAGAAAACCTATTCCAAGGAATTTGTTACTTTCTGCACTTGAGTGATCCACTTAAAATGTTTCTAAAGTAGACCATGATTGACAAATACATAATGGTGGGAGGGGTTTTCCTCATCTGTAAGTCGTCCCGCAGCGCCACGGCATATAATAATAATAGCCGTCCCTACCCTTGCTTGTGGGGTTAAAAATTCACTCGTGAGGGAGAGTATTATTATTATATTGTTATACGAGTCATGTCCGTGATAACTACGCGCGACTCTGAATTAAATACAAAGTGACACTTAAAAAGAATAATAATTAAATGTACGCTCGACATACCTATGTGATTTTTTCCCAGGCCTACTTTATAAACATTTTTTTTAATCACGCCTTACTATTTTCTATGGCTATAATTTAAAACTACATTTCCTTATTCGAAAATTCTGATAACACAAAGTAATCATTTCCGTATCGTAATCCTATTCTAATAATACCAAATAGTCATGCATTCTCTTATTATTTTAATAATATCATATGTGTCATGAAATGTCAAACATTAAATAATTATAAAAAAAGATATGTCATTTTAATTTTATAAATCCAAAATTACAAATTTAAAAAATAAATTAAAACTGTAAATATCTCGAAAACCAATCACTTTTTGAGTTCCCAACAAGAGTACATGTTTTATTTAAAAAACATCAAAAAATGTAAGGGTATATTCCAAATAAGTTTTTGGACAGTGGCGTAAAATTTAGAGGGAATGAAAGTATTATTTATCCGTACCGTACGCCATTGGTAAAGTATATTTAACTGATTGTTTCGCTTATAGGTGTATCTTATGACACCAACAATGTTTACCGAATTTAGTGATATTATACTGAGAAATAAAAAAATTATTGCCAGTAATTTCCAACTCTAACATCCTGTAATATTTTATCTAAGCATGTTTCGTTTGTATTATTTTTATTCAGATAATCTTTATTTGTTCTGTGTTTCCTTCTTAATGAGACACCATGTATGTTAAACTCACAAGGAATGCTCATTTCCAACTCGTATCATACTCTTAGGAAATGAATATACTATTTTCTACACCCACGTCGATATTATTTATTTTACGTACAGACTACAGAACGGAAAAGTAGGCCATTACGTTCTACTGAACGGATATACATAATTTCATATAAACTCTAGTAAGTATACTGAACGCATATGAAATCCGTCAATCACAGTTGTTCATATTTGATGAGCGGGCTACATTTTAATATTTTAAATAGGTGACAATTCTGTCAAACTAATTGTAAGTATACCTATTTTTTAGTAATTGAGATTAAATATAATTAAAAATGAGTGATTCTTGTGAAGAATCGATAAATAATAGATATCATTCCACAAGATATTCGTCTATATTCACAAATAAATCATATACTATAATAAAACTATCTGAAACCAATCTATATATCGTCGCCCTAATAAGAAAAATGCCTAATTCCACTTTTTTTTGAAAATGGGATTAAGATACCATCTATTAGAATAACGTCTAAGCCACCTTCTGACAAAATTTCAGAGTGTTTACTTAACCGGTTAATTTTAAATTAAAATAATAGAAATTTGCCGATTTTCGATTTAACAATTGCCAAAAAGAAATTTGCCTAGCTCCACACATTTATTATATGTGTTAGATGTGAAGAAAAACAGTTAATAAAGTAATAATGTATTTGTTAAAAAATAACGTTTTTCTTTTCTCCGTTAAAATTTTCCAAAACGGAGATAGGCATTTTTCTTATTAGGGCGACCATATCAGTATTACAAAATATTATCTCAGCGAAGATATAGAGGACTGAGTTCCTATGAAAAAGGTCGGGGGTTCAAATCCAGGATAATAATAAAAAATATATTTTTTCTACACCCACATGGATTACAAAACGAAAAAGTATGAGTATGCCTTCAACTAAACGAATATATTTCATATCCATTCTAGGTAGTGAGAACACTGCAAAAATGAAATCCACCAATCGCCGTTCATATTTTGATCAACTGATTGATATTATTTTTAAAATTTTAAATAAGTGACAATTCTGTCAAACTAATTGTCAGTATATTTTTTAGTTATTGAGATTAAACATACATTAAAATGGGTTATTCTTGTGTAGAATCGATAAATTATAGCATTTTTATTTTTATTTCGTCTATAATTATAAATAATTTGTTAATTTAAATAAAACTATATGAAGTCAATTTAATTACGAGTATTAAAGCAGCAAAAATAAAAGAATAATAGGTGGTCCTGTGGTTAGAGTTCTTGACTTCCACACGGAAGGCTCGAGTTCGGACGGGGAAAAATGAAATGAACTTGTTTTCATTTAGTTTATTTTAAAAATTATTAAAAGACATAAATTATTTTAAAATTAGTTATTTTGTCTTAATAATCTAAAATTTTTTTATTTGTAAATTTTCGTTAGTGGGTCGTAGAAAAAATATACTATATAACTCGAGTGGATTGTCCACATCGCACTCAGATGATTGAGCACTCCGCATGCGGCATCGTGCTCAAATTTCGTCTCTTCGTCTTTCCACTCTTGTTCTACAAACTACTATTTCAAGTTTATTTTATTTTACAAATTAATAAAGGTCACAAATTACTTTTCAAATAGTTTATCTTAATAAACGCTAAATTAATGTTTTAAATTTTTGTTAGTGGGTCGTAAAAAAAATATACTCTACAACTCGAGTGGATTGCCTGTATCGCCTACGGCGTCGTGCTCAATATTCGTCTTCTTGCGATATGGCCATCATATCCACTCTTGTTGCACAAACTACTATATCAGAATAATGAAGCTTCAAATAAACATCCTTATTGTACCAAACAATAATTATCAAATATTAATATACAGGGTGATTCTTTAAACAAAAATAAAACAAATACGGGTCCGAATAAGATGCTTTGTTTAAAATATACATGGTGTTTACCATTTTTAATTTTTTTCTTGTAAAATAAGAGGAAATCTAAAAATTTTAAAAGGTGCTTTTTATTAGTCATTTAAATATATAACTAATTGTGCAATCAATAAGAGAAAAAGTCAGTGGCGTAGGTACATATTTTTCGTTCGCACGCGTGCCCATGGTAAACCTGATTACATATTTTTATTTGCTAAAATATGTGCTTCTTTGGTAGATTTTAGCACCAAAATCTTATTCAAATCGTTACAGCAGTTTCGGAAAGATTTAAAAAAAATTGAAAAAATTAAAAACACCCTGTATCTTTCAAATAAGGCATCTGCGGACCCATGTCTTATTTTTGGCTAGGGAATCACCCCCCAAGCGATGGCACATGTTTTTTGAAATACCCTGTATAATATATAGGTACATTCCTATTTCTAACTCAGTTTCCACTAAATTAAATTTAAAAACATTATTTTTGCACCACTGCACTAAATTATTAATTAGTTCACCATGATTATTGTTATTTTGAACTACCAAGAATAAATTTTGAAAACGCCTGTAATACCGTAAAATGCTTTCGTTAAGTTGCTTTCAATAAATTAGTTTTACATTTAATAAAATTTTATACCATTTAATTATAATAAGTAAAATTTTTGTAAGTATTTTTTTTATAATTATAATCATATCAATTTCAATAGTAAGTAACGGAAAACATTTTTTTTCTGTATCAGACAGTTAAATTTTGAAAATGATTCAGGGAGTGTAAAAAGAGCGCTAAATTTGCGAACCCCACCGAATTTAAACCAGCATCACATTGTACCGTTAGAACACGACATTTTTTCTGATAACGCATGTGAAAATGCAAACGAATCAAATTCTCAACCGAAATTAGAAAAAAAGGGTCTTACCTAGCGAGAAAACAATAGCGAAAGCCTGAAAAATAGGAGGGTAGCGGTCCACTCCGTACGAAATGAAACGAAGGATGTAGAAAGGATAAAGTCCGGTGGTGCGGTATCCAGAAAGCCCATTTCATATCAGGAGCACACGGAGCTTCCGCGAGTAGAGGGGATGAGAGCGCGCAAAGTGGGGAGTAAAACAAAATAAAAATCGTCTTTTGCTGCAGTTCAAGTTTCAACTCAACAGTCCGTCAGTTTCGTACTGCAAACTGCAACCGAAATCGGCGAAAACCGAAAAAGCACGTTGTTTTGATTTTTCCCCATGTTGCGTTTGTAAAATAATAAACCGTAATTGGTACTATAATGGACGGGCTATCCACTACGGATGAGAACGGTGGTGTTCCCGCGCCTAGTTCGAATGTTCCGGTGATGTTGGGAAACTGTGCCAGTGGTAGTTCGAGTGCTAGACAATCACCGAAAGTGTGTGTTACGCCTGCTTCGCAAATCCTTCTTCAGAGAAATTCCCTGTCGCCAAACATCCCTAGGAAAGTTATGAGCAAAAACAATAACAACACAAGTTAGTCACTTCATTTACTAACTTTATAAACAATAAGTAGCTAAGCTAGTTAGTTTGTTTTAGACATATTTTGCGCATTTTGAAAATTTGGATTTAAATCTATCGTCCGAAGTACATTTTTTTTTAATCATCTTACAATTATTCAGCATCAGAGTTATTTGTAACTTATAATACTCGTATTTAAAATACCACCGACGTTTCTACTTTATACATCCATCATCAAATTATTTTTTCTTCAATTGTTTATAAAACACGAAGATAAACACATTATCGTTTGTTAACTTTATAAAACAAATAATTACTTTAATAAGGGGTTATTTTTGACATTTCTTTAAGAAATGACGCGTATTTTGAAAATTTACCTTATAGTTTACAATTTTTAGAATGTTTTTTTAACTAATTATCTACGAATTTAATTTATTTTTAAAATATCTTGGGCGTCTTAATTTAATACTTTATGCGTTTCGAAAATATAGAAGTTTTGCAGTGTATTTTTTAGAATGTTTTAGTTATTAATAATATTTTTTATAAATAGCGTCGATGTTTAAATTTTTTAAATTCATATCATATCATGTTTAATGGGAGAGGGTAAAAAATGGGATAGGTGTATTCTTAAAAATAATTAAAGCGAGATATTTAAAAAAAAACATTTTTGATCCAATTCTTTCAAAAGTATGGTCTTGAAAAATTGCTTGAATAATAAATAATAGTATAATACAGGGTGTTTCAGAATAAAGTGCTGTATACAGGGGGGGGGGGGCTTGTAGATCTCAACTCTGTGGCCGGCGCTTAAAAGGTCATAAGTCGTTTTTTACGTAAAAGGTAAAAGGCGTTTTTAGTCAAGATACGTTTAGAAGAGTGTATATTTTAGGCAGTTAAAAGGATCTAAGTCTATATACGTTGTAAATAAGGTATAAAAAACATATATAATAATACAAGGGTAACCGCGAAAGACAAAACGTCATAATTAAACATAGTCAAATTTTGTAACATGAAACAGTTAAAACAAAATATTTCTACATATTTTTTAATTTTTACAGGACCAAATGTCCTAAAAAGATCGTCGATTTGAATTCTAAAAATCCTTATTCATATGTCCTAAAATTTTCCAGCGCCATTCTCCAAAAATGTGTAATATCGACTTATTACCTTTTAACCGCCGACCACAGAACTAATTAATAAAAGAAGCTAAATATAATTTTCCTGTAAATGTCTCAGTTTATATTCTACAGGGTGATAAAGTGAATTTCATAAATACATAATTTTCTAAATATCATCCCTTATGGTAAAGATTTTAGCTTAAAAATATGTATATGTTAGTTAATCGTTATTATTATTATTTCGATAAATCGCGATAACCCATTGGCGTAGAATCAAGGGTTATGAAAACAATTTTCATCCAAACTTTTTGAACATCCCATGTTTCATAAAAATTAAGCTTAATAATTATTCCTGGCGCAATTTGTCACAAAAAGGGACTCTTGTTTGATCGTTGTAAAATAATCCATTTCCGAGATTTTTCAGCTTTAGTCCTACCCAATTTTAATCAATTTTATCAAGGGCCGATTTCATAATGAATATTAAAAGGTCCATTATCTATTGGGGCCAAAATTGTATGGACTTAATAGCCCCACGTTGTGAACTGCGTTTAAATAAAAACAATTAAACCTATGTTAATGTTCGTTAATATACAGGGTGTAAAAAACTACGGGGTGATAGTACTGGAAAATAAAGTATAAGTGTGGGTGACGTAAATGCATAAGGGAGTTAGGAGTGAATGTCAAAATAAAGAAAAATTGTATGGAAATATACTTATATCAAAAAATGAAGAGTTCGATTGGAAATATTTGGAGAATTTTTGAAAATAGAAAAGTAAACAACAAAATATTAATAGTACTTACAAAAAGATACAACAATAATAAGTCTGCAATACAAGAAATTAAAAAATTAACACCATAATATAAAATGCAATAAAACTATATTACTTAGGTCGGACGAAAAAAAAAAAAAAAAATGCCGTTACAGGTAGCCAGACAAATGGTGACATGAGCTTAATTTTTTTATTAATTATCTCACTGATTACTTATGATATAATTATGATTTGAAAATCATTAGAATCCTCAAGTTTTTACCTAATAATAATCCAAAATACATTTTTGCACAGTTTTTATGATATCGTCCTATATAATAATTATATCAAACCGAGATAACTATAAATTTGTATAATTGTATATCATTTACAATTTTAAAATCTATTTCGTCTAACAGGCTAAATTTTTACTTTTGAAAAATTATTTTTTTTAGAATATCTTACTTTTGGACAAACGATACCATACAAAACTGGAAATTAAAAACTATAATTTCCCCTACTCAAACAATTTTTTCTATGAAATACCAACCGAATGATAGAAATGCTATTTGGTAAAAATCCATAATTTTTAACTATTAAAATAAAAGTAAAAAATAATTATTTAAAAGTGTTTTGCCTTTTTCTCAAAACTTACAGGACATTCATTTTCCAACTTCCATTTAGAATACTAATAAATAATAGAAAAATTAATTCTGGAAACCATATACGTCACAAAATAATTTATGGATTATTATTTTGTGTATTGTGGCTTTCAGAATTTATTTTTCAATTTTATTTTACGTCTTGGTCATTTTACAATTCATGAAATAATATATGATTTAACTTAAACCTTTCATAATTTCAAACTAATTAAAATCCCCCAATTTCAAATAATTTGTACATAATATAACAAATGTATAGAAAGTGATTATTAAATAAAAATCTAACCTAAATATTTCATTATAACAAATTAATTGAAATCTCTCAATCTCAATTTTTTTATAACTAATGTATATAAAATCATAATATCAATAATTTCTAAAGCCCCCACTGGATAATTAAAGAAGTTTTAGATAGATATATTTAACTAACATAATTTATTTTAAAATTCAAAATATAGAATCAGCTAAGGGTGAGATTACAGAACGTCTGCAATTTTGCAGATCTGCAAATATAGCGGCAACTTTGCAGATCTGCAAATATGGCGGACTTACATATGCATGTATCAAGTTTTCGTATTCCAAAAAAGATCTGCAAATTTGCAATATTTATTGTGGTTTATTACCCCCAACAACACTAAACCCAAATCCATTACTATGTTTAAAAACTCGATAATCTGACACCATGAACTGTATTCAATCAAAAGAAACAGAAGACTTCATGGTTGTAGGATGTTCTAACCTTCTTAAGGGTGGTTTTGGATTTAGTGGTGTTAGGGGCAATAAATATTGCGAATTTGCAGCTATTTTTTAGATACTTGCATCTGTAAGTCCGCCATATTTGCAGATCTGTAAAGTTTCCGCCATATTTGCAGATCTGCAAAGTTGCAGACGTTCTGTAATCTCACCCTAAGCTTTTAATATTATTCGTACATCATAATTGTTGTCATAGTAACTTCTTTTGGTTTTCTTCAACGATAAGTTCCAAGATTAACTGGATATCAATAACTTCTAGGGTAATAATACGTATCATAGTGTCAACAATCGCATGGATAAACTCCTCTGAACAACGCATTATTAACACGAACAAAAATTAATAGCGAATTGAATGGAGGAATTGAGAAAAATTGAAGGAAACTTACTTAATGATCACAGAATTAAATGTAATTAAGATTGATCATTAAAGGCTACAGGGGAGAATTTTTCGAGACAACGAAACAATACTAATATGCACTATTTATTAAGTATTAATTATTTACTTTTTAAAAGATAAATACGAGTATATGCGTTTGAATTATTTGTAGTGAAAATAATTATAAATTTTTCTTTCTTTTTTTAAACATAATCTCAAGGAAAAATTCCGAGAATAAATTAATGGAGGTGTCTTACAACTGCTTTTTTTTATAATAAAGGCAAATTTATCAATAGAAAAATGTTATGCAATGATACAAAACAATTTTTTATTGATGACTAAAAAATATATATTTTTTGAATATAATAATTGTTTAAAAAAAATTCAATATCCACCTCTAGTTGGGACAACTCTAATCTTATTTAATACAATCATCAATAGATCGCCTGCAAAAATATTCGTTTTTAGTAAATATTTAACTTAGATTGCAATATTTATGAGCCAAATAACGTTGGGTTCAAAGCTGTTCCTTGTGGGGTACCATTTTGCAGCATTCTTGTAGAAAACTTAAAAAAATCACACTCTTAACACTTTTTCGTGTAAATAGCCTGAATTTGAAATATTCAGATAAGTTTTTATACTTTTTTTATATAGATAATTCGAGTTATGCACTAGATAAGATTGTCAACCAAATAATTGAGACGTGACTTGTAATTGTTATTTAGTAAATAATTTGAGAAGGTAACATTTTTTAAAAAAGATTTTTGTGTACATTTACAACGCAAATCTTTCTGCTAAAATCAGTCATAATGGGAATATACATTTCTAAATTTAACAACCATATTACACAAAAATGAGCTTATTAGTATATACCACGCCGATGCTAATTTTAGAATTCGATATAGAATTTGTCATTTGGGAAATTCCTGGGGTGCAAGGGACATCTTAGATCCAATAAAATATGTTTTATCGTTACTTATACATTTAATTATTCGGCTATATTTTAAATGATACTTGCTTGATTGGATTTTCATGATTACAGAACTCATTACAAAATAGACCAATAAGAACCATGCATTTTGCATAATTACAACGTATAAATAAGTAAATATTATACCATGTTTCTTTTGGTGTTTTGCAAATCTAGACAGGCGTCAAAATGTACTTCATAAGGTATAAAATATTTGTTTATGTGAACACCATTTAAAATTTTCATGTCTTACAACCCATTTGGCCACTGAAAATTGTAAAATTTTAAAACTCAGAAGGTATAAAAACAATTTTTTGCAGATTCGTTCTTACTAAATGTACTATACGGATACTATTCGTAAGACAAAATATTTAGGGCTTAGTTGCTTTA